GCCCTGAATCGATGACAGAACTGCACAGATTTATTCAATGCGTCATTATTCCCGATTCAGAGATAACAGGCGGCGAACAGGGGGGGAGGGGGGCGACAAAGTTGTGACAGCACGAGTGTGTAAATTTGCTTTCTAATTGTACGGGGACCCGGACGACAACAACAACAATAGCAACAATAACTGGAACGAATTGTACGATCTATACCTTTTTCAGTTTAAGATGTCCGAAATCCAATTTAAGATATCGCAACATGAATTTAAGATGTCCGAATAATTAGTTAAGATGTCAGGTTGCTATGTGGATAGTACCTTGCACAGTACAAAGTGAAAACATACCAAAATGACATCTTCATTTGTTAATCGGACATCTTAAATTGGATTTTGGACAACTTTAACTGAAAATGGTATAGATCGTACAATTCATTCCATTTTTTTTGTTGCTGTTTCCCTAATCCACAATGCAGCAAACATGCCACCATTATGGAGAACTATTCGCTGAGGTGATGTGCCTTTGTTCCACGCTCACACATCGGTGTCCCAGTGCTCCTTTGTACGAAAGGGTGCTCTGAGAAACCTCTTTCCCAAAACTCGATAGAATCGCCACATCCTCTTCACAAAATTGCCTGATAAGGAATTATCTAACAGGCACACGTAACGACATTTTTTTAACCATGTATCCTTAATTGCCACTCAGCGAACGGAAGTGGCTGCACTGAACCAGAGAGGAGTAAAAATTGGTAATGAAAATGGCATTCAAATCACCTGAAAAGGGATGGATGGAAAAAAGGGCATGGCCTTTCCTGCTCTGGGAAATTCTATTTACTGACTGCCAGAGTACTCACGCCTACACACATCTCCTTGAACGCCAATGCGTTAGCAGTCGGAAACATTGACAGTGCACCACAAAAACATATCCCCAAACGTAGACCATGCATAAGCACAATTGATAAAATATATAACTCGAACCATGGAACAAACATTAATAAGTTGCGAACAGCAAGATTGCTGCGACTCATATGGAAGTTTACAGTTGGTTCGAGTCTGGTGGGCAAACCGAACTAACAATACCGAGGTCAGAAGAGTACAGCTTTAGTTACCCGAGCCCGCTTACTGGGGCAAGTGATAGAACATTATAAACTACGACGGTTGGTGCAGTGTCTTATTCTGGTTTGGTGTACTATGGACAAGAAAACCTCTTCCTTAGCCCACAGCAATAAATCGGAGGAGAGAACATCGCTGGAGAACAACAGTCAGAAGGTAGTCTTTGAACATGACGCGTTGCGTAAATATAAGTGGGCAAATTGGGCATACGGGAACGACGTGGTGACGCACCAATCAGATCTCGGCCTTGACGCTCCGAATGGTCGTCCAGACGACAGCTGTCTGATTTGTCCTACTCATCCAATCCGGAATCGACTCGCCTTGGGGGTCTCGAGTGTGCTTGCGGTGTGACGCGAATCCGTGCGCCGCTTGACGGGTTCTCTGAGTTTCGTCCAAAGGCCGCCACCCTTGAATTTGAATTTGGATTTTAATCGTAGGTCCACTTGAGGAGGGGGAACCAAACCTGCGTTTTCGTTGGTTTCATTGCTTCCGTGATACGCGTACGGTGGACTTGCGTTTGTGGTTCGGACTGGTTCTGACTCACACAGTTCGACTAGGATGTCTAGTGATAATTATCCTGTGAGTTCCCCAATTATGGCCAACATTTGGTTAGCATGTCTCAGCCGAATGTCCGATCCGACTTGGACGTCATATATCGCGTTTCTGCGTCACCCATCTCTCTATTTCTAAAAAAGCATGCACCGACTATCATGGGCGTCCCGGACGACACATCCACACAAGCGAAACACAACGGAATCCCCATTTTGTTTTCAGAGGCGGGCAGCACAGAAAGGCTTCAGTTCTAAAAGCAGGAAGTCCACTTTGATCGATGGTTTCAGTTCTCCGCCGAGGCAACCAAATCAATGTGAGCATGGAATAAACGAGATGCTGTTTTGAAATTTCCGTGTCTAAGCGTTGGGGGATCTACTCAAACTATTTCATTTGTGGGCGCTCCAGAAATGCACAAAACATTTCGTTATTGGAACAGCGTTGTTTTCTCATCGTGTTAGTTGCTGGGATATCTTTTCAGATAGGCCATGAATGAACAGTAGGCAAAACCGCCGCGTGAAATCGTCAGATTATTGTTTTTATAAACTAAACTCAGGTCGCTTTCAGAATCTATCAGATATGCTGTGTTCAACCGCTTCCAAGCGTTTTAGGTGTTCCAAGAGCGGCAGCCAAGTTTCACCCTGTAAGCCAGAATCAGGTGAATGATGGACTGAAGGACGGACTTGTCTCAGGGACTGATTCGGTAGCGTGTTCAAAGTTCATAAGATATCGAAACCTTCTCCTTTTAGCATCAAAGAGCACCTACTTCGGGTTTGTCTACTCCAAATAATTGCCGATCCTAGAAGGTTGAACGCACGGATTGGCTCGTCTTTGACGTTTATTGGAGGCGTGAACTGTGAGTAGCAATACCAATACAGACTTTTTAGACGGTTTTTTCACAGGTACCAGGCACTGCTGATGTTCTTGGATGTGGGTTTCACTCCAAACAGATCTTGTTATTCAGAGAACCGATCTCCAGTCCGGGGACTGCTGAGGGGAAAATAACACAATTCACCTCGTCGGAATACGGCATCTTTCAATACCCGGTGGGAGAGAAAAATCTTCAAGTTCAGTTGGACACCAGAGCGGTCAATGAACGCTGGGAGCATTGTCCAGTCGGTAGTATAACTGAAAACCACTGACTTGAATAGCCTCAAGTGCACGAAAACATGAGACAAAATTGCCCTCCCCCCCTTCGCTCGGGGGAGGGGGGATTAATAATGTGATTTTATTTCAAGAATTCATTTTAGACGAAAATTCCGTGATAAGAGCGTGAAAATCACTCACCCGTGGTTTGTTCAAAATCATGCTCAAACTCTTTTAGAATCTTTTGTAACTGACGTTTGGATTCTCTGACTACCGTAACTTCGTTCCGCAGTCGTGAAAGCGGCCACTTTTTCGGATCATCTTCAGTAGCTCTACATTGCGACAGAGAGGATTTGGAAACTGATTACTCATCGCTTTCTGGAAATTTGGATGTGAAGCAAGTTGTAGAAAAACACTCCAACCATTCAAATATTCACACTACTCTCTTTTAACAAGCAGTCAGGTTCGATTCCAATCGAGTCACAACCCTGGAAGCCACTGCCAACATCCTCACAAGGCAAGGTGCCTACAACAACTTTGGAAACAGATTCTGTCGCGACAAAATGTAAAACGGTCCAGCTAGATGGGGGGTATACTTGTGTTTTATCCATGAGGTTCCGAGCCCTGATTCTTATTTGGATCAATGGATGCTTTCCTCATATTTATTAATTTACAGTTTTCCGGTTAGTTTCCTTGGCGTACTTGGTTTTCAAATCTTCCAAAGCGACCTAACGATTATGCGTTGGAGATCTTTTCATCAACTCCTTAGATTAATCTTAGGTGATAACATCTTCGGAAAGAATTTTTGAAGACTTGAATTACTGACCGCACACTGGATTAAGATACCGTAGTTCCAATCGCTACACACGGTCCGAATTCTGACGCATACCGCCTCATATAAACGGTTACCGAAATTCAGCTGCGCTGTATATTGCCCGTGTACTGAACAACAGAAGGAGAGGTTTACCGCCTTCACCTTGGATCACACGCTTATTTATTTATTTTTTCTAATGTCTACGAACCAAATGTTCGAATAATCAATCTATTCAAGTCTATCTCGGGGGTATGTGTCACGTTGTGGCCAAGGCAGTCTGAGTGATTGTACGAATCGCTTTTGAGAACAAAGCGATGAGTTTAATAATCGAATGGGCATGGCTACGGCTGTTTCGAGATGACGTTGACGGGCAGCTTTTGCGGGGTTTGGTGACACCTTGCAGATGATTCGAAATGCGTCATCGTCAACCTGACACCCGGTATCGGCAAGATGGGCTACGATTGCACTTAAAATCGTTTTCTTTTTGCCTGAACGCAAGCCGTGGCCATTCGAGTATTAAACCCATCGCCTCGTTCTCAAAAGCGATTCATTCAAATACTCAGACTGCCTCGGCCACAACGTGACACATAACCCGGAGATAGACTTGATCTTTCTCATGACTCCGCGACCCTAACACGTGATGACATGTCTACATTCTAATTGTTTTCCTAATCGTGTTACGATCACATCCTTCCATCGCACCCCTTTCTCAACCACACAACAAAAACATCCAAACACCGCGGATCACACAGCCATTGAGAAACATTTTCATTTTCATTTGACTAAATAACTGTATTAGCCCGAGGAAGAGGAAGAAGTTGTCGAAAACGAGCTTGTTCGCTAAAACCATCGCGTTTTTTTTTCTCCATGCCGAGATTGGATTGTTCCACAATCTATTCAACTTTATGGATGGGCAACCGACATATTAACTGTTACGTTTGCAAAATTACACAAACAAAACCATACAGTACAACATTATGGACAACAGACGATTTGTGAAACAAACAACAACAAAATGTCATTAAGTTCAGAAGCACATCAAGTTGTTTTTTGGGGGGATGAGGGGGTCACCGAAAACGGCCACCAAATACTAGACCCCGGTCGGAGCAGGTGAAAATAAGCACAATGGATTAGAACAAGTATCACAAGAGAATTATTCAACTCAAAACTATCACAGAAGCAGGTCAAACATGAATGCTGACAAAGCGCAATGTGTTAAATCGAATCTCACTACTGAAAACTGGTTAGTAGTAAGAAACGGGAGGTATAAGGGGATTTTAGAAGCACATCGAAGGAATGCTTCGCACATTCCTCAAACATTACATGTTTGGAGGCACAAGTTCGACGACTGGAAAGCAATACTGGACATTGGAAACGGATGATTGTGTGCGTGTGTGCGAAATCAAAACCCTATTTGGCCCCAGCAACCAGAGACTGTAGCTCAACAATGTACATAAAGCAAAATGGTCGGATGTCAAAAAAATCTAAGGCTATGTTCATTGGACTTTGGGAGATTGCTGTTCCGAAATCGCTATTTGCTTTTCTGCCTCGGAAATGAATTAAGGAAACAAACACAGATTACAAAATAAATGATGATGATAAATAAATAAATAAGTGGTGATGCATAAGGCAGAAAAATTAAAATGAATCATAACAGGTTTGTCTACTCCACACAACTGGACGGTGAGAGAATGACCATTTAACCAATACCGTTTTGTCAGATAAGAAACGGAAGGGGTGAACCATCTCAATTAGCTTGTCTGATTAGATGGGAAACTCAAGTAAAGTGAACACTTAGATAGCCACAAGAGGATAGAAATCACCATCAAAGAACAGAGTGACAGACGATATCACAACCAAAAAAGGAAAGTTTTTTAAGAAGGAACACAATTAGGAGAAATAAGAAAAGAAAGGTGTTCATTTATTTGTAGTAAATGTGGAGTCTGCATAAAGAGGAAACAACGTATACACCAATTGATTAACACATGCGCCCGGACCCGAAAGTCGGCAAACAACAATGCGAGACAAAATGAAGATCAGTTTGTTCGCATTCACATCATGCGTTATCCGTCGGACACCTCCTTCCGACCGGGACCAGGAACCGTCAACAAAACGCGGTTAGGTAGTCAGTGGGTTGATGTTTCCAAAGAGAGGTAAAAGTCAATCTTAAACTAGTGCTGTGAGATACTACTCACTTGTGAGTAGTACTGATTTCAGAATGTTAACGTAATGCTCGAGTAAACCACTCCTAAATGAGTAGGTGATGTTCAACAAGTATACGGAGAGTGGGGATCTAAAAGACGCAACCGCTGTTTGGGCGAAATCTAGTTGTGTTCTTGACCAAAATGCCATCCAAGAATCGGAAAGAGTCGTCGCAAGCAGACAAACATCACCAGTTTGGATGCAACAGGGATCGATCCAGTTTATGTTTGGAGCAGATATTCCAGAGATTGTTTGTACGGATGAAAACTAGAACTGCTGCTGTTTAGGTTGATGGGGCTTCTGCGTGCATCGGAATACGAAAGAAATGCGGATTGAGCTATCTCATCAAGCACTCGGCGAAATCTTAGAGGAAAGGGTCAGATTAGTTGAACTTATTTGGTAAGTTCCAGCTGTATGTGTGTGTGGGAGGGGGGGAGTCAACGGACACGAGATACAGAGTACTGCAAGTGCGGAGTGACAGCGCTGATGCAGTAGACCAGTTGAATTGCGATGAGAAATGATAGACCCAAAATGACAATTGTCCTCTGAGGTTTCTTACAAGAAAGACTACCATCAGATCACATGAATTCTTATGGTCGATGATGGAGTCTGTGCATACTTCCGATTTCAGCCCCCAATGTGCGCTAAGACCATAGGTCCCTTCTGCGTTTTCAAAATGTGTCATTTGCCGAGTGATAGACCAACACATTCGACTAATATAAACCAGTGTTCGTCGAGGAAGTTAGCCGATTGCTAAGAGATGCGAGGGGTGTTGGAGCGTCGGGCGAACCCACGATTCTCTAGATCTGCTTCACACTGTTGTTTTTTTTGGATATGTGGTGTGTGGTGTCGTTTGGTAGAGTGGAAGAGAAAGTGTTGCCGCTATCGAATTCTGATGTGGCTAGGCATCTCACGTTGACATAGCTCAACGACGTCCATAAGCATGTTAATCTTTTCCGATCACCGTCTGAAACCTATTGTGTACAATCTAGGCATAGATTCAATGTGTGATCAGAGTCAACAGTGATTTTCCGATGGAACCTGTAGTTTAGTAAAAGTTCTCTCTCTCTCTCTAAAAGAGCAACTCATTGCAATGTGAGCGATTCGGATCCCATAGTGGTTTATTGGTGGGGGTTGTGGGGAGCAAATTCATGTATTGGTACTAGATATTCTCTGTTTTCCGCCCAGCGTGTGTCCAGTGTCTGTCAACCCCCCAGGAGGCATTATAGTATCCGCCATAGAAGCATTCCACAAGAGTTTGAGTTCGTTGAAAAAAAACAGCTTCACTGCATCTGAACTGCAGCCGGTTGGAGCAAATATGACAACCAGAAATGTTTCACCAGAGTACTACCTCTTTGCGTGATGCGAACCTTTACTGTGAGAAAAAAGATCGACGATTGGAAACCAGTTTTGCAGAACCGATTTCGTCATGAAGCTGAGCGTTATAGAAACACCGGTTAGGCCAGTTGCTAGAGGCTTCAGAGCCTTCTGAAAGGTAGAGGTGAAGTAGGAGCTGGGATGGACAAGGAGACGAACCCGAAGATAATACTTGCGTCCTGAATCCGAATTTCATATAAACAGTAGACGTCAATGTCCAGTATCTCTAGCGTGTTTGCTACTCCTACCTGTTAACCAATAGACACGGGCATTCCAATATTCAGCAGCGATCCTGAAAGGTGGTCGGGGTCGGAGGAATATAGCATCGCCGAGGGTGGGTTGTGTTACACGGATGAAAGTCAGCATACAGTTTGGTGAGTGAGATTTATTGGCAATGTGGTGAGAACAGTTTAGCCGGGTTGTGGGAATACAACAGTTAATAAGCTCGCAAGGTGATTTATAAGGTCATGCGGGAAGTAAGCCAGTGCCAGATGGTTTATTCGGTTCTAGTTTTGAGGGTGACATATACTAACCGATGAGAAATATTGAAAATCGGTTCTTGTGGCTCGGATGAACAAAATTCCATTTCGCCTATTCGCCGAGTTCGGCAATTGGTTTGCAAACGTTCCATCATCAGTCACGGTGACATCCTCAGCGCTTGTGAAGTGACAGTGTGCCGTTTATACCCATTCATTTATGTGTTCTTCTTCCCTGACTATGTTTGTCCCTTGTTCTTACTGTGATTAACTTGGTTCGCCGTTGAACTGGTGCGCGGGGGTGAGAATGTCAGAAGTTTGGCCTTTTGTTCTGAGATTGCGGTGGTTTTGGTCCGTTGCGTCATTTGATCCTGGAGTTGCATCGGTGTGTACACGTGATCTAGTTCGATGTGTGTTTGTTTATTGAATTGATTGAAGAGTGCCAAATCTTGAGAAATTCTCT